AAAAGCACAGCGTTTTGTTGATATTGTGAGTGCACACAAATAAAAGTGGACCCTTTACAGTTACGAGTGATGTATTATTCTTACCTTTATGAGTAAAAATTACGGCGTATTCACTGAAATAAACACAAGTGATGGCGCTGGCGTCTCCATGTCCTGCAGAGCGTCTCCGCACAAACTATTGGATACAGCGCACATTTATCTAGCTTTAACGTTTAAACATTAATATGCTTGAATTGTTTTATATCTATAGATTTTATTTTAGGCTAGTCGTGATGATTTGAGAAGGCTAAATTGATCAAGGCTCACTGTCTGCCGCTGGCCGCTTGGTCGTTACTATAAAAAACAAAAACTTATATTTAACGAACAAAAAATGCTCCAAAAGTTTTTCTAAATGAACTTAATAAAAAAAAAAACGAAACGAAATATAATCACTTTGCCATTACATACAAAACTGAACTATTTTAATAGCTGGAACAGTAGTATAAGCTGTTTTGGGAGAAGGGGGGGAAAAGAGACGGGCTCGGGTCAGTAATTCTGATGAGCTGTCGGACACGGGCCGGGCTAGAGCCTAAATCTGAGGCCCGTGCCTCTCTCTAGGATGGAGAGATGTCGCTGCGTGTTATAGCTATTAATATTGACATTCCTGTTGGTTTAAATGGTCGGCCATCGGGGGCCCCCTTAAAGTGCAGGGCCCCAGGCTACGCCTCTGAACGTGATCATATGTCATACGTGATCATACTGTGCTGCTCAAACCAGTATACTTTGACTCGCTCAAAGACCGAGAGACATGCAGGTTTGTTGTTTATTGTTTGAAGGTCAAAGGTCAAATACGACTCTGCCAAACATACACAGTGTCAGGATTTTGGAGGTGCTCTTCATTATGATTAATGTACCTTTAATGTGTTCTGCACAAACGTTTATACCTTTAATAACACTATAATACCTTTAATGACATTAACAAACATTATATAATGCTTGACAGAATATTAGTTAAAATACGTTCAATATTTTCTGTCATGAATATTTATTTTATTCTTAATAGTTTTAGTAATAGTTTATAGTTATGTTTTGTTCATCAGATGATGGCTGTTTTCTCATAAGTTTTCTCGTAAATTTCTCGTATCAGTAATTGCTAATGTGTGTTTTTAATTTGTCTGAGTGATAGAGGAAGACAATGAGAGAGGAAAAGGGGTAGGGGTGAAGAGCAAAACTGAATGATTTTTGGGAGTGTTACATTCAACACAACTTCCAGGTGTCTGTTCTCACTGCCTCTGTTGCCGTGGCAGCAGAGGTAGATCTCTCTCACACACACACACACACACACACACACACACACACTTCTCTGTGGAAGCTTTTAATCCTGGTTTGTAGGTAAAACAAACTTTCCTCATGTGAGTCACCAGAATGCCAGACAGCAGCTGAGAACACAGATGGACTCATGCTTTAGTTTCAGAGCAGAACCATACACATCTACACTAACACTCACACATTTGGCTGCATTTATTTCTATTTTGTGTGTGTCTCGTGTTTGTCCAGCAGAGGTCAGACTCATAACGCTGAGCATCAGATCGGGCCTTCATTCATTAGTTCAAATGCTGATGAAAACATATATTAATGACTGAATAGAGTTGATGAAAGAGTGTGAGGATGTGAGGAGCAGAATAAAGCACAGAGCTCCAGCAGTGAATGAGTGTTTTCTTTAGTGGAAACCGATGGTGAGCAGTTTGTTGATCTCCTCTCAAATGAAGCAGAGAGAGACGAGCTGCAACTATCACACACACACACACACAC